TTCCTATTCTATGACCAACAAGCATAATCCGATTAGATGCAATGCCAATGACTTTACAACCATTAATTTCAAATAAGACATCGAATCCTTTATCGCATAATTGACTAATACTCAATAGATTATGCTTTAATCCATTCACATATAAAACATTCTTAATTTGTATGGAAGAGGTATTACCTATTGTACCAATACCTTCAATGTGACCTTTTGAATTGTCTCCAAAAGTCACTTCTCCTCCATTTTTGGCGTTATGCTCAATGAACCGGCTTTTGTCTCCGGTCATATGTCTTGAGCATCCACTATCAAGGTACCATGAATTTGAATTTGTTTCCCGTGCCTTGTAGCAATGCTCCTTTCCCTACAAACATAGATTAATTTTTGATTTTTGGTACCCAAATTCTTTTGGGTCCATATTCATTAGTTTCCAAAATCCTAGTCCCCTTAGGTATCCATTTGTGTAGGATATTTTTATCTTTAGTAGTAATGAGTTCTTTAGGAACCCACATATTTCTAATGATTTTTCCATTAGAGGTTCTTTGGGGACCTCTATGATTGTAGTTTCTAAAACTTTTTCTAACAAAGTTGGATTTTGAATTTCCACCTTTTTCAAAATGTTTTGTTCCAACTTTATCAAAAGAAGTTTTAAGATCATCAATTTTCTTTTGATGATCATCATTGATCTTTGAAAGTAAATTTTGCAAATCTAATTTTTTCTTTTCAAACTCTTATAGTTTGATTTGCAAATCTTTGATTTTACTTTCAAGATCGTTGTTGGTTTTGGATATGAGTTTGTTTTCATTTTTCAATTTTAAAACATTATTTTTATATTTTAAAAACAATTTCTCATAATCCGAAGCCAACCCATTGTACTCCTCAAATAACTCATCATAAGATAAATCATCAAAATCGGATGAGTTAGAGGTTACCTTAGAATCTTCCCCGAATGCCATCAAGCACAAGTTTGCTACTTCTTGTTCCTCTTCATCGGAACTTTCTTCATCGCTCCATGTAGCCACATGAGCCTTGTGCTTATTCTTTGATTGACCCTTTTTCTTCAATTGTGGGCAATCATATTTGACATGCCCCGGCTTTTTGCATTCATAGCAAATGATTGGGTCCTTCTCTTTTGGTTCATTTTTGAGGCCTTCGTTTCGTTTGAATTTTCTTCCTTGGTAAGGTCTCATCATTTTTCTGAACCGTTTGGCAAACAATGCCATTTCCTCGTCATCATCATCATTATTAGAATCACTCTCATCTTTTGTGGATTTGAGAGCAACTCCAATATTTTTCTTCTTCTCCTTTTCCTTTGGTGTCTCTTCAACTTTATCAAGGTCCAACTCATCTTCAAGCATCATCTCATGAGAGAGGAGTGAACCGATAAGTTCTTCAAGAGTTAAGGACGATAGGTCCTTAGACCCGATGATTGCCGTCTTCTTTGATTGCCATGATTTTGGGAGGGAGTAGACTAACTTCCTCACAAGCTTTTCATTTGAGATGATCTCTCCATATGATTTGAGACCATTGACAATCGTTGAAAATCTATCCGTCATAGCTTTGATGTCTTCATTTGGTTTCATCCTGAAATTTTCATAGCTATGCGTTAGAATACTAATTTTTGATTTCTTTACCTCATATGTACCTTCATGTGTGACTTGAAGCTTCTCCCATATTTCTTTGGAGGTTGTACATGATGAAACTCTTTCGTATTCATCTGGTCCAAGAGCACAAAAAATAATATGGATGGCTTTGGAGTTGAGCTGGAACATTCTTGTCTCTCCTTCACTCCACAACCTTGGATGAGTGAGAGGTTTGATGTATCCTTCTTCTACAGCATTCCATGCTCCCATGTCACTTGCTTGAATGAAGTACATCATTCTATTCTTCTAATAGGCATAGTTAGCTCCATTGAAGAAAGGAGGCTTGTTGACGGGCATCGAATCGAGACCGGAGTCGAAGTTTGAAGCGGAGGCCATTGATGACTTTAATAATCGATATAACTCTTCCCGAATCGACTCAAGAGGCGATTAAACCTTCAAATGAGTTAGGCTCTGATACCAATTGTTGAGTTAATCGATCGACGGAATCAGCCAAGAGGGGGGTGAATTGGCAATTAAAAATTTCGTGGAAGTTTTTGCAGAAAAATTGAAAGTAATTGCACAGCGATTTACAGTGGTTCGACTTTCTCAAACAAAGTCTACGTCCACTACCTTAGCTATCCACACTAAGGATTTTCCAACAAATTCACTAATTTGTTCTTTCTTTTGAGGCCAAAGAGATAACCTTACAAAATCCCTCAAGAGTATACCCCAACTCTTGAGAACACTCTTTTTCCCATAGAGAAGATTACAAATTTGCAAACTTACAAGAAAACCTCACAAGGTAAGATGTTTGCACAATTCTAGAACAAGAAAAGAACACTCAAAGATAATTACAAATGAGCACAAATGGTGTTCTTGAAAGCAAAATGAATATTGAAAGGAAAATTGGCTTGATTTGCACAAACTTGGTGTTTGATGCTTTCTCTCTTGTTTCTCTATGATTTCTTGTTGATCAAGGGCTTCAGAACTTGTTTAAATACACCTTGAATCTCTTCTGAACGTTGGGGATGATTAGGGAAGATCATATAGCCGTTTTAGTGTGAAAACAATTAATAAAACAGTTTGGAGCGTGGGGGGAATCGGTACCCCCTATGGGGAATCGGTTCCCTAAGTGTAAAATTCAAATATTTCGACCGTTGAACAGGGGGAATCGGTACCCCCTATGGGGGAATCGGTTCCCTCCGAGCATTCTGGAAATCTCGGAGCCAAACCATTCAGGGGGGAATCGGTACCCCCTTGGGGGGGAATCGGTTCCCTCTGAGCAATCTGGAATTTTTGGCTTTGAAATGGTTCGAAATACTTTGAAAGATTATTTTGAAATTGTTTTAAGATTAAAACTTAATTTTACACTTAAGTAAGGATTAAAAATGATTTTTGAAATATTTTGAGTAATGTTTTGATATTCGAATAATTATATCGAATATACTTAGAAAATCATTTTGGAAAATCTTAAAATTCATTTAACTTAATTTGTTATATCGAAATATCAAAATGTTTTCAACAAAGTCCAAGCTTGGGTTTTGATCCAGTCATTGGCTCGGTTATGTAGGAAGACTTCAATTGGTTAAGGTTGTTCTCTTCAGCATTGCTAATTTTTTGTGTGCATGTGTTGGTTTTACCCACTGCAATGATAAAGAGTGTGAAGCAACTATGTTCCAGGTTCTTTTGGAAAGGGGGAGATATTCCTTCTAAAGGGGCTAGGGTTAAATGAGAAAAAATTTGTTATCCTAAAACTGAGGGAGGTTTGGGAGTGAAAGATTTAACATCTTGGAATAGAGCTTGTTTGATGATGCTTGCCAAGTCTCTCCTTGCTACCGAGGGATCTCTGTGGGTTGTCTGAGTGAAGATATATGTGTTTAAAGGCATTGATTTCTGGCAGGTGGAATGCAGGCCTTACTTTAGCTGGGGGTAAGGAAAATTCTTCAGTTGAGGGAAGAAGCTAGTCAAATTTTTGGCAAAGGTGATGGAGGTCAGATTCATACTCGATGGATTTGGAATGAGATAAGGGAGAAACATGAGAAGGTTAGCTGGCATAAGCTATTGTGGTTTTCGATAAATATGCCCAAGCACTCTTTTATTGCTTAGATGGTTGTGATCAACAAGCGTCCTAATGATAATCGGCTTAATAGAATGAAAATTGCTATGGACATGGACTGTAGAATCTACACGAGTGGAGGTTAAGACACTCGGGATCACATATTTTTTCAATGTTGTTTTTTTAGAGAAATGTGGAGTGTTGTACTTGGATTGTACAGGGTGCATAGAGAGGTGGGATGTTGGGAGGATGAACTTAGTTGGGCGACTGCTCATCTTAAGGGTAAGTCTTTATTAGTTTACATTTTGAAAATAACTTGGTGTGCTTATATCTACTATATTTGAGAAGAAATGAATTGTAGGCAATTTAGGAGAAATAGCGATAATGTTGATAAAATTATTGATAAAATAAAAAATATTGTTAGAATTAAAGTGTATAGGAAAAACATGGGGCATGATGATGTTAATAAGAGCTTGTGTATAGCTTGGGGAATTTCTTCCTCTTATCCTGAGGAATTTGTTGTAATCTATTCTTTGGAGGAGCATGTTGGGCTGCTTCTTGGATAATAAAATAAAAAATTATTCAAAATAAATAAAATGGCTTGGATTGATGGAAATTCAGAGACTATTATTTAACGGCAAAAACCTTGCTTCGTTAAGCATAAAATTTATACATACACAAATTAAGATGTGATCAAATTTAATACGAATTATAATATAAAAAACTGCATCAGATTTTTCTAAACGAATTCTAATATAAAAAACTGCATCAGATTTTTCTAAACGAATTCTAATATAAAAAACTGCATCAGATTTGTCTAAACTCAAATCAAATTGAATACAAGCGGAAGGATTTAATTTTCGGGTCAAATTCAGATGGACTCAAACTATTCCTAAAAATAACCATTATAATAAAAAAATTGTTAGATTAAATATAATTTATATCTCAAAATATGTTTAAATCAATGAATCTCAATAAATTATATATAATTATAATATACCAACGATATTGAAATACTATTGCTTATTTTAAACTTTAAATCCTAAAAATTAAAATATAAACTCCAAAATCATAATTCATAAACCCTACACCTTAAACACTAACTCCTTAATATCGCATATCATCCGTTCGATCATACTTGTAAAATCTTCAACTCCATCAGCGTTGCATCCTTTTAGGATAGTTAGATGAGGAAAAAAATCAAAGACCGTGAATATCAAAGACTGAGGTTATATATGTAACTGAATCAAAATTCAACATTCTTGTATCGCAACTCTTCTTGCAAACAGGACTGAATAGCAAAAAGGAAATTACTGCATCAAGCAAATTCTAATCACTAAATATGTGTAATCACCAAAGCAAATGCATAGGTAAAGGGTAATAATTATATTAAAAAAACCATTCACTGTTCTCGACAATGAAACATCCACGGCATGATTAGCACCGAATTGAAAGACTATAGAAACAAAAACAGAACTTGAATCTAAAAACAAAAATGGCAGATAACTTATCCCTAAAAGCACGCCAAATTAAGCTAAGACATTGAGAAACCTCGTAGAACAAGGCCAACTGTTCCGCCTACTTGGATCTCTGTCTCATCTTTCGGCGCTTCCTCTTCAGTCTTCAGTCTTCTCACGCGCTTCTTCTTTCACTGTTCACAGATCATGCGATATGTCAAAAATGAAATAAGAATTTATAGATCAATTGTAACTGAAACAGATTGAATCAGAAAGAGAACAGTTTATTTAATGCAATTCATGAAGTACCTTGGCTCTCATGGCGGTGAGGTGAAAAAAAACTTGCTGCCTCCTTTTTCTGTGTTCCTCGTTGAGCCCTGACTCGGCAAGAAATGGCTGGTAGGGATTTTACCATCTACACCGTTATATATAACCTATTAAGCCCTAGTAGGAGGCCGGTATGACCTGATACAGATTCAACAATGTTGGGTTATTCTTTCAAACGGCCCAATTTGAACAAATAAATAAAAGGGTAAACTATATCACGTACCAATAAACTTTTTAGGTGTGTGTCATTATTAACATTAAATTTTTATTTTTTTTAATTATAGTGATGAACTTCAATTTTAAATTTAATTTTGTTATTGGATCGTTAAAATCTAAATAATATAATGATATAGACAAAAGCAACATCGTTTTGATATAAATATTAATATTTAAAACAAATTTTCAAGCACTACACCTTAGAAAAGTATTAATTTTGCTATTAAACTTTTAAATTTTTCTATTTTTTAAATTTACTCTCTCTTTTTTTTCCGCTGTAAGCAGCCAATCCCCGTTCTTCACTGGTTGTTTTTTCTATAGTAAGATCGATATCAAAATATTCATATTTCATTCATCTTTCATCCCTTAAAATTGATCTTACACAAAACACATTCAAAAATGATAAAAAAAAACTCATTTAAAAGTTTATCGTACTAATATTTTGATCTCGTCTAATAACTCTCCTATCTTCCAGTCAATTTTGGAGAGTTGATTATTCTAATAGTCTTTTCGATATACGAGAGTTATTATAAGGTATTATATATTTAAAAGACTCTCAACTATTTAACAATGAATGCTCAAATATCCTTATAGATATAGATAGCGAGTTCAAACAAAAAATCTCTAGAAATAACAATAATTCCTTTAATTATTAAACTCGTTTGGTTCATGCCGTTATTTTTGCATATAAATACACATAGAATGCTTGTTTTTATTGATAATTGCGTAGGGAATGCTTGGATCTCTTCGTATTCAAATTAAGGTACGATAAAATTGACTCAATACCGTAGGTGGGGTAATTATCTAGTCCAATACAACACTATATATTTTATTTTGAAAATTATGACATTTGCTATAGTGACTTGGAACTTGTCATGTGCGCATGTCGAGTTCCAATAAAATATATTTTTATTAAAACTTATCATTTCGACGTAATAAATTCTAATAAAAAATTATATATTTTTTGGAACTTGTCACTTTGACGTAACGAGTTTAAATAAAAAATATTATTTTGACAAACTCATCATGTGTGTATAATGAATTTACGCATTGTAATATTTGTCGTATATCCTAAATTAATTTTAAAGATAACTTAATGGTCAACTTTTTTAGATGTATGGTCTATTGGGCCAATTTTGCCATTAAGGTACAGCCTTGGAGCCAATTAATTTTGGACAAAACACATAGTTCATCCACCTAGTAATAATAATAATAAATTGATCTGCGGGAGACGGTAAAGATGAAGCTCCAAGCTAAAAGGGTTGCATGCAGTTACGAAGCTTAGTTATCCAACTGGTGGGTTAAACAACTTTAACGTGAGGGTAAACAACAGGAAGAAGAAGACCCTACACAACTGTTTGTAATTGATTTTCTGAAAATTGAATTCTGAAAAATGAATTATTGGAATTTGAATTCTGAAAAATGAATTACGTTTTTTTATTATATAAATAATATTATTCATTATTAATAATTTAATAAATTATTTATATGAAATTAATAAATAATATAAATGTTATTAATAATTTATTATATATTATTAAAATAAAAATATAATATCTTATATTATTATAATATAATTGATTATTTTATTATAATATTAAAAAAATAATATTATATTATTAGAAATATTAATAAATATATTTTAAATAATTTAATAATTAATATTTTGATTACAATGATACTAAAATATTTTATTAATATTAAATTCATGAAATAAAATTATTTTGAGTATTTATTATTTGAATTAAAAGTTCGGAAAATGACTTACAAAAAATTAGACCGTAAGTCATTTTCCAGAAAATACAAATCAAATTCTATTGAATAGGAAAATGTTTTACGTTTACCAATCAATTTTCCTCCAACCAAACACTGGAAATATTTTCCGGAAAACAAATTACGTGAAACAAATACGAAAAAAATTTTCTAAAAAATAAATTACGAAAAACAAACACGAAATTTCAGGAAAAATCAATTTTGTAATTCATTTTACGACAAACAAACAGACACTTAATGTCCAATTCTTCTACCGGGTGTAATCACCATTTTTACCTCTCCATTCCAGCAGCCCCTCCACGTTGCACATTCCAGCACCTTCCAGCAGCTCCAGAAGCCAACTGCCCCCTCCACGTTTCAGCAACTCTCCAACAACGACAACCGTCCATCACCTCACCAGCTGTCTCTCCTCGTTATAGCTCAGCCACCACACCCACGACCACCAATGCTCCACGTCCTGAATCAATTCATCATCACAAAACAAAGGATAATATTTTATTTCTTTTCACATGTAAATTGGGGCTATAAAAACCCTAGAACAATTCAAAAAAAAAAGGAGAAGGAGGAGCAAATACACAACAAATTGAAAAGGAAAAAGCATTACAAATGTTATTTTTACATTTGATTCATTTTTTCAGCATTTTATTTATTTATTTATTTTCGGGAAAAAAACAAAGTAAGTTAATTAAATAAAAAAAAACAGAAAAGAGAAGAGTTGAAAGCTTTGGGTGTTCTACCGTGTGAAAAATGAGAGGAAGAATATGAGTTTTAAGTTTATAAAATGTTTGGGTAAACCACACGTCAGGTCCCTAGGCTTTAAGAGTTCATTACTTTATTCACTTAAATTAGAGAAAATACGAAATAATCCCTCTAATTTAGGAGGCTATTTATAATTTAGTCCTTGCTATGCTTTTATATATATTTTAGGTAAATGAAAGATTTAGTCCTTTAATTTTAATAATTAATATTTTAATCCAGAAAGCATGTTTTAACTTGTTTTAATTTAATTTTCGAATTTAATATAGTTTTAATTTAGTCACCAAATTAATAAATATGTAAAATAGCATAATCATACACTAAAATTTTAATAAATTAATTACTAATTAGATATTTATTTTTAATACATTTTAATTTAGTCATTAACTTTAAAATTATTAGCTTTTATTATATAGTTTTAATCTCATTTATTTTAGTTGTTGATTTAATTTTATATGTTTATTTGCAATATATTATTATTATTATTATTATTATTATTATTATTATTATTATAAACATATACATATAATAAATAATATTTATTTATTATTTTTATAATAATAAATTCTAATAATATTAAAGAAAAGGACTGTCTTAAAGCACCTAGAAGTTCGTTTTCTGATATTTTTTATCATATAAAATATATATTAATTTTTAAGAAACATTTTTAATATTTATTTTATTTGTTAATATAGAAGAAAAGAGCTGTCATAAAGCACCTAGAAGTCCTTTTCTAATATTCTTAAATAAATAAATATCCTATTTTTATATATATATTATTTTATTTTAATTATTTTTATAGAAATGTTTTTATTAATATTTATTTACTTTTAACATCGAAGAAAAGAGTTGTCTTAAAGCACCTAGAAGTCCCTTTATGATATTTCTAAGTAAATAAATATCTTTATTTATAAAAATAAATATATATATATATATATTAATATATTTTCTTAAAATAAATTTGAAATATTATTATTAATAATTAAATATATTTTTGAATTTTTAAATTTCCAATAATAGAGATAAATTATAATTAATGAAGTACCAATTTTGGGCGTTGTGGGGGTGCTAATCCTTCCCCAAACGTAATCGACCACGAATCCCTTTTTTATTATAAAAAAGAACGAATTTTTGGTTTATACGCAGATCAGTTTAAATTATGTTTTCTTAAAAACTATTTTAAAAGATTATTTTTAGGTATTTGACCTACCTAACCCAAAAAGGTCAATGGCGACTCCAAAATATTTCTAAAACACCATTTTTTATCCACATTACTTTTTCCAACCAAGTAAAATTTGTACCCGGGCGAAAACCGGTTACGACAGCTTGGCGACTCCGCTGGGGAGCTGGTCAAACTTTAAAATCAATTATAAATTGTCTCTATTAATTAAAAATTAAAAATTCATATATTTAATTTTTAATTCTTTCTTTTCAAAATTTTTTATATATACTTATTATTTTCATAATATTTATATGTATATTATTTTATTAATGTTTCATTTTATTTTTCAAGTATTTTATTTCATTATTTATCTGTCAGAGGTTTGAACATTTATCCTCACACACAACACATGCATTGCATAAACATAATCTCTATAACTGAGATTTGTCCATTTTCAGTGGGAGTGAAAGCGACGTCTTCGTGAGAATTTATTCTCCGTGTCAGACCTAACAAGTAGCTTTCGGGGTTCATATGCTCTATGTCTTCGTAAGAATTTATTCTCCGTGTCAAACATAAAGAAATGTGTCCCCTCGAATTGAACTCTGTCTGCTTAAGTCTGTAGTGGACTAGGATTGAGGGTTGGCAGCCAAGGGGGCACCAACAAGGACAATTCGAGTACCTTTACTCATAGAACTGAAACTCTGCATATAATAAACCCTAGAAATTCACCTGATCTAAGACAGTACTGAACCTCTGTTCATAGGTATACACAAAGGAGAAATAAGTTCTAACTTTTTGTCTTTTGATTTATTTAATTTTTTCCTTTTTCTGAATAAATGCCTGCGAACTAGAAATCATGCGGTTAGGTTAATTTTTCCAAACAAAGCATGAAACTAGAAAGCATGAGGTTAGGATTTATTATATACCATGATAAATAAAAATTTTTCTTTCAATTAGTTGGTACTAACCATTTTATTTTTTCTTATTTTCCCATTACAAAGTTATTTTTGCTCTAATTTGTTTATATTGTTTTCTTTTGTTTGCATTGCATGATCATGGCATAACCAAAAGGTGTTAACTGGAAAGACTGTTCATCAAATTGGAAAGAAATCATAAATGGACAAAAAGTTTTATAATCGAACAAAATATGACGCAACCGTGGAATGGCATCCTGAGGGAACTCCGAGGATAGAGGAGAGCTAGGCACCCAAAGATCG